GCTTCCCCTCCATCGCACTAGACTCTCCATGCTGGGGGGCTGTGCTCCTCACTGCCTGTGTACCGCGGCTGCACGTGTGCCTGGGTCATTTTTTTGGTGAAATTATCAGCTTTGTATGGCTGATTTTTTTTTTTTTTTTTCCCAATATTTTCTTTATATTGGTGCTGTTCTGATATTGGACTCATGTATCCTCTACTAGAGAGAGCTTAAACTCCAGTATTAGGTTATTTCTTGCTACTTGTTAGTATCTGTCTCTGTTCATCTTGTAATGCACATCATTTCTTAAAGACATGAGGCGGGGGGAAACCCAGCACTGTACTTTCAGCTTAATGCGCCCCTGCACCAAGTGCAGCACATGCCCAGAAGAGGAATTGTGTCAGATTGACCTGGCTTGCCCCACATCTGTACAGCTTGTGTTTCAGTGGGGATTTTTGGCACTTCTTTATCTAATAGTTTTTTGAATTGGCGATTTAGATAAAAGCACCAAAAAGCCCTGCTGAGGCATGAGGGCTATACAGGCTGGGGAGCTGGGTCAACTGACATCATGCCTCTTTTGGTAAAGCACTGTTTGTTTTGTTTTTGTTGTGTCCTATAATGCCCCTGCCCTTCCCCCCTGAATCAGCACCCTTAGACTTGGGTAAAGTCTTTGTAGGGGCATGCTGAAAGCTAGAACCTGAGACTGCACAGTAAGGAAGGTAAAATTAATCTCCTCAGATGTTATGAGGAAATATAAAGGGGGAGAAAAAAATCCTGATCTGCCCCTTGCTCTTGTATCAACTATATGTTTCCTGTTACTGTAAAGAGAATGCTTTCCTTGAGACAGCCTCTTTCAAATCCACAGTCTCTGTAAAATGGCAATTCCTGTTCCAGTATCCTAGGTGAGAATGTACCTCTCTGTTATGTGACCATAACTTGGTCAATATAAAATAGCTAAGTTGTAGAATAATGTTTTTTCTGGTGTCTGTGTGTAAGAACAGTGAACTCTGCTTACACTGAGTAGGAAGCTTGACCTCCAGTGTGGCCAGGTGCCTCTAGTAACTGACACAAAATTGTCAATTGCTAGCATGACCACTCCATCTAAATATGTCAATAAAAAGTAGTTAATTTAAAAAAATGCACAATAGTCTATGTAGCTGGTTATAAAGTCTATTTTTAAACTACAGTTAAGGTACATCTTGTGAAGCTTGTTCCTTGTGCCTTAATTTATAAGATGCATTTTACCCTGCCTTGTGCTCCTGTGTATATTTTCTTTTTGTGCAGTTTACTTCAAAATGCGTCTTTCAGTCCTGATTTTTCATGCTTTGAATTTTCATGCTTCGAGTCTTAATACCTTTCATGGTGTATCCTGGATATTACATCTGCATCTAACGTACACATGCATGATTTGTTGGTTCTTGAAAGGAAAGTTATTGTGTGCATGCTTGAGGCAGCAAACCTTTATGGTGGTAGGGGTGGAAAAGAGAGTGATTTTTAAATAGTGCTGCCGTTGTAATAAATGTACTCTTCAATTCTGAGCTCTGTCTGTTTTTAAAAAGTGCAGGTGTTAATTGTCACTTATGCAGAGCCTTTTTTTAAAACCGTAGCCCTTTTTAAACATGATTTCATTTCATTTACCATTTCCATCCTCACAAAAATGTGAAGTTAAAAAGCATTAGCACTTGTTAATATTTGGATCTAAAATGTTTTGTTCTTGTGTGAAGATGGGGAGAAGAGACTTAAACTAAAGCTTACAGTTCTACTATTTATATGCAGTGAGAAAAACAAAGGCTAAATATTTTGAACAAAAGCTATGTATAGGTTGAAATCATGTCTAACATCTGTGTTCAGGGTGTGGCAGCTTAATATAGGCATTAAGCAGCTTTTGCAAACATTTAAATTTGTAATTTTTTTCATCTTTAGAGTACATTACAGGTACTATGTTGAGAGAAACGCTCCAAAAGTAACCATTTCATGTAAAACTTAAGCTATGTGACCTGTTACTTAGAACTTTACAAGAAACTTACTCTGATAATTTTAAGAGCCATATAATCGCCATTATAGATTGGACATCCGCAAAAACTACTTCACAGTTAGGGCGGCTAGGAGCTGGAACCAACTTCCAAGGGAAGTGGTGCTGGCCCCTACCCTGGGGGTCTTTAAGAAGAGGCTGGATGCCTACCTGGCTGGACTCATTTGAGTCCCGTTTCTCTTTTTGGGGTTTTTTGTTGTTCTCCCGCCCTGGTGGGGGGTCGGGCTAGAAGATCTACTAGGTCCCTTCTGACCCTTAATCTATGAATCTATGAATCAATATTGCAACTTTAATAATCATCACAACCCATTCAAACTCTGCAAACTTCAAAAATAACAGATAACTTCACATCAGTGTTTGTGTTGTGAATTTTTGAGCAGTTACTTATTTAGCATATGCCGTTTCAGCATATTGTTTAAGCCATCTTAAAGCAATGTCATCACCAGTGTGAAGAGCTTGAAGGCCACCAGATGGCATTGTAAATGGACGTGAGGCAGCAGTGTACCCATTTGAGCAGTTAGGCAGTGCCATCTATTTGGTTGCCCTGCTTTATTGATAGTTGAATAAGTGCTTGTTAACTTAGCTTTGTATTTTGGTAACCTTAGTGTTAATGATTGAAAGTAGAATAAATACTTGTTCTGGTGTTCAGTGTCTCCTTACTTAAATTTCAAAAAGGATATCTTTTTTGCTGTATAAAAGAGTTATGCCAATGACTTTGTAAACGGAAACATTATTTAATGTGATGTTGGTGCTTACTGAACCTCTATCAAGAGGGTCTCTTATTCTGTCTGTCTTCAGAAATATTGTTTTGGGAAAGCTATTGGTTATCAGGACCATGTCTACTAGCTGCTCTGCACGGTGCCTTTAACTTCAGTAGTGGCTGTGGGTGTACACATGCCTGGAGAGGAACTCGACTGGTGGTACTAGAGTCAAAACACTTAAATGTTCAACACAGACAAATAAATTCCCCTCTTCTGATGGGCGTTTCATCCATCATACAACAGCTTTTTCACATCGCTGGTCTGACCCCATCTTCCCAATGGGGTTCTAGCAGCCAGTCTGAAGTGCTGAACTTTTTCCTTTCTATTGCTGTTTTATTTTAATACTGCTGCCTTAACTGATTAAGTCCTGTGACCTAGAATAGGTCTTCTAGTGGAAACCTGTGCTAGCACTGTTAATGTTTGCTCTATGGGTAACTTTGGTATTTTGCCTAAGTATGCACTCAGTCCCATCACCAGATTGTTCGGGAAGGTGTTGAACAATACTGGACCCAGGCCAGACCCCTGGGAAACCCCAGCTGATTTCTCCTTTCATCTAGACATTGAGCCATTGAGGACTACTCCCTGATTAAGATCATCAAGCCAGCTACGTATCCACCTTACAATACTTTTATCTAGTCCTGTATTTCTTTAGTTTAATGAGGATATTTTGGGGGATGGTGTCAAAAGCCTTGCTAAAGTCAAGGTACACCAGCTACTCTCCTGTCCTCCCCTCATCCATAGTGCCTGTCACCTTTATCATAGACGGATTGGCCAGGGTCTTGGTAAATCCATGGTAACTGTTTCTGACCACCTTGTTTTCCTGTATGTGCTTCACAGTGGATTTCTTGGAGTGGAAGTATCACCTGACTTTAAAAAAAAAAAAAAAAAAAAATCAGACTCTTGAATTGCTTACTGTACCACCAGTGTTCTTAAAGTCATATTGCTAAGAGCTGGATGGGTTATTCCTACCTACATTCATTTCTGTTTGAAGATCTTGGTTCAGACTCTTGGTATGGTAATGTTGGGTTAAACTCCTAGAAATGTTCCTGCTAGAAATGATGCAATGTGCTCCTTTTGATCTTGGGGTAAAAACTAACGTTGCCTGATACCAAATTTCTGGCACTATAGAAACTTTTGTGGTGGCACAAATGGAGAACATAGATATCCCTACCTGTGGCGTGACCAGGTAGTATTAAATAGTGCCCATTTTATTGCAGTAGATGTGTATTAGCCTTGTGGTGGGAGAGTGCAGGCAGCCCAGAAGTGCCAATACTCTCTAGCTGCCCCAGGCAGGTGCTCTGGGTACTTGAGGTGCCCTGATCCTGTACACTCTAGGAATTCCCTGGCAAGATCAGGCCCCTCAGGCCTCAGGAGCACCTGCCCAGCTTCCCCTGCTTACTGAGATGCATGCTAGGGAGTCTTGGGGCACCTCGCTATAAACAGGGCCCTGGAATGGAGGCCACAGATAGAACTAGGAATCAGAATGTGGGACTTGTCCCACTACAGCTTGACCTGCTTCGTTTACTGACACCTATTTTTACCCTTACTCTTCTACTAGCTATTTTCTCTTTGTGCCTGCCTGACGTGTTGTGTCCAGTGTGCCATAGGGCTGATCCAGGGATTTTTACATGGACTTCGATAGGAATATATTCTTTGGCATTCAAATGCAAGCTGTAAAAATGATCTTAGTCATGAATATTCTTGACTTGCATATGTTGAATGGGGTGGTGGTTTGAGCTCCCATATTCCTCATCACTTAAAATAGTCAGGGTATTGGTGGGTGGGTGTAGTAGGGTTCTTTTTGATTTTTTGTTTAATTTTTTTGTGGGAAAAGAGCTGGTAGAGATACAGATTCACAAGTTAAGTTTAAATACTTTGCATTTCAACATTCTGCTTCTTTTAAACTCTTACATCTTACTATGATGTTTTAATATGCTTGTATAACAGGGCAAGTTTGTCTAACTCATCAGGAATATTAATGTTCCTACATTAACATGCCAAGTCATAATACAAATATTAAGAATAGGTTATAGTCACAGAAAACTTGCCCTTACTAAAATGCTTGTGAGTTTTTAGTAGCTGTATTTCGCCTTGTCCAGGCTTTATGGGCTTTAAGTTGCTTAAGTGATACGTATATCTTGAACAGATTTCAGCTAAACCTTTTGCTTTTATTTCTTTCGGAACTTGTTCACTTCACCTTGCTGAAAACATGTTATAATTTATCACTTTTTTGTTAGGAGTTGTGTTGACTGACCAGGTAGTCTTGTTTCTTTTGAACTAACCTTGGCTCATAAATTCTGAGGGCTGGGACTGGGCATGTCGGATGTTCTTGCAACTCACCAGTAGGGCCTTCTAAATGGGTTCCTACTTTTATTTTGAAAGCATGCATGTATTTCAGGATAGCTGTTTATAAACTGGCATCTGGAGTTGGAAAGGGGATCTGGCTCTCTACCTTCCTCCTCTTCCTTCCCATGCCCCCCAATCTCGTGTCCATAGTTTGAGAGATTCTTTTGTATCAGTTAATGCTATAAGGGAAGTGCTTCCAGTAATTCTTTGGTGTTCCAAGTGCTGCATGCTGCAGATAAGCAGGCATATATGCAAGTACTTGTAAAGAGCTGGAAATAAGCTAAGTTCTACCTTTCATTACTGTCTCTTAATATATATTTTTTTTCCTCCCCCAGGTCTTAGTGGTGCAATGGCTAGTATCAGCGTTCGTTCGAGTACCCCAGGCTCTCCCACTCATGTAAGCAGTGGCTCCAACGCTAGTCGAAGGAGAAATGGACTCCATGATGTTGATTTGAACACTTTCATATCAGAAGAAATGGCACTCCACTTGGACAATGGTGGAACTAGAAAGCGTACCTCAGCCCAGTGTGGCGATGTCATTACAGACTCCCCAACTCATAAACGCAACAGAATGATCTAAACTGCAAAAATTTCAAACCCACCATGCTGCTTGAAAGCCACTTGATCCTCAGAGTACTATTGAAAAGGAAACATGAGGCCATCTTCCCATATTCACTGTTTAAGACAAGTGAATTCAATAATTGCCATAAAGGAAGTTTTAGGTATTACAGTAGATGCCTCTTGTAACTGCGGCTTTCTTAAACTATATTCTTAGCAGAGGACATCAGATATTGTGTAGTAGTTAGCAAGATCATCATAGGCGAACATGTATCCGTTCCAAGGCTAAAAGTGACCTTACTTGTATTCTTAAAGGGAAAGGAAATATCAGATGTTTATTTGGTTATAGAATGCTTTTTTGTCCTTTATTTCCTGCTGTGTTGAGTATTTTGCTTAAACAGTATTGCCAGTTTGACTGAAATTGTCTAAAACATGACTTGGCATCTTTGTCAAAACTGCAGGCTTCCATTTTCACAGCACTGTACCATGCACCTAGTTTCTATATAGTAACAGTGTGCAAGTTAAATATTGGACTGTACCCTTTTTAGTTTTAAAAGCAGTTTGATAATTCTGGTGATTGTGTGATGATGTAAAGAGGTGCTATGATGGTCATGCAATTAATACTTAACATTTGAATCAATACAAGGATCTTTATTGGATTCACTTTGTGTGTTTTTAGTGCTCTGAAGTAGCAATATTAAACTTTTCCCCAATTAAATTCATAGGCTTTTAAATTTTCAGTTGAGAACATATATGTATTGGTATTATCCTTGTGGTAAACACAAACAGTGCAGACTACCAGGGCTGACCTACATTTAGAGAAAGATGTCCAGTAATTGGAGAGTAGGCTTTTTTTTGTTCAGTATTAGTGAAGGGTAGATATTGTGTACAAATGTATCCCACTTTACATTTCTTGTGAAGTAAATGCCTGTATTCAGGGAAAGGTGGGAGGAGAGGGAATGGGGAACAGTTAGAAAAGGGTTGTGTTCTATCTGCTGACAAACAAGGTTTTTGGCCGCTCGTGGAAACTCTATCTGGACTCATTTTAAACCTTCTCTTGACACATCTTCAGAATGGGATGACACACCAAGCTCTCGGAAAACAATTTAAAACTGGAAGTTTTAATTCTGGAAAAAAAAATTCTGGA